ATCGCCGACCGCGCCGTGCAGATCCATGGCGGCGAAGGCATCGTCCAGGGCCGGCGCGTGGAATTCCTGTTCCGCATGCTGCGCATGTACCGCGTGCTCACGGGCACCAGCGAGATACAGCGCAACACCATCGCCAAGGAGCTGCTGGAGCGGGCCGGCGCCTGAGGCTGGCCGGCAGCCCCAGCACTCCCCCAGCAAACAGAAAAGACAAAAGACCAGGAGACAAAGCCATGCCACACATCACCAGCAGCGGCCAGGACCGCCGCCAATTCCTGCAGGCTGCAGGCGCCGCATCGCTTGCGGCAGGCCTGCCCTGGGCCGCCACAGCCTCAGCGCACGACAGCGCCTGGCCCACGCGCCCCATCAAATGGGTGGTGCCCTACCTGGCCGGCACCAGCCCCGACACGGCCGCGCGCATCGTGGCCGAGGCGCTGTCGGCCCAGCTGGGCCAGCCCGTGGTGATAGACAACCGCGCCGGCGCGGGCGGCAACATCGGCGCCCGCCAGGTGGCCAAGGCACCGGCGGACGGCTACACCCTGCTGTACTCGGGCTCGCCATGGCCGCCGCCATGCGCATGTACAAAAGCCCCGGCTACGACGTGTTCAAGGACTTCCGCCATGTGCTGGGCATGTCGCGCTCGGACATCCTGGTCGTCGTGCATGCCGACTCGGGCATGCGCACGCTGGATGACCTGGCCGCCCGCGCCAAGGCCAGGCCGGGCGCGCTGGACTATGCCTCGGGCGGCGTGGGCACGCCATCGCACCTGGGCGTGGAGATGCTGGCCTCCAGCATGGGCCTGCAGGTCAACCATGTGCCCTACAAGGGCGCGTCCGAGCTGGTCAATGCCGTGCTGGGCCAGCAGGTGGCCTTCGGCGCCCCGCTGTTTTCCGTGGCCTATCCCCAGGTGCTGGCGGGCAGGCTGGTGCCGCTGGCCATTGCCGGCCCCCAGCGCAACGCCAAGCTGCCCCAGGTGCAGACCCTGGCCGAGCTGGGCGTGCCCGACGTCAACCTCACGTCCTGGGGCGGTGTGTCCGTGCCGGCCGCCACGCCCGAGGCCATCGTCCAGCGGCTGCGCACGGCACTGGAGGAGGTGCTCAGGCAGCCCAAGGTCATCGCCTTGCTGGAGCAGGAAGGCGGCAAGGTCGCCATCACCAGCGCCGAAGCCTATGCCAAGGGCTTCGAGCGCGAGATCCAGTTCACCCAGTCCATGATGCAGCGCGTGGGCATACAGCCGATCTAGGGCCTGGTACCAGGGCTTTGCACCGTGGCTGGGCACGGGCATGGCGGGCGGCAATCCTGCCCTGGCGCAATCGCTGGGATAATCCTGCCCATTCATGATCAGCCTTCGCAACATTACCCTGCGCCGCGGCACCCGCGTGCTGCTGGACAGCACCTCCGTCTCCATCAACCCCGGTGAAAAAGTCGGCCTTGTCGGACGCAATGGCGCCGGCAAGTCCAGCCTGTTCGCCCTGCTCAACGGCAGCCTGGCCGAGGACGGTGGAGAGTTCTCCATCCCTTCTCAATGGCGCCTGGGCCAGGTCGCGCAGAACATGCCCGAGACCTCGGAGACGGCCACCCAGTTCGTGCTGGACGGCGACACCCGCCTGAGCGAGCTCAACGCCCAGCTCGCGGCCGCCGAGGCCAGCGAGGACGGCATGGCCATCGCCCACGCCCACGTGGACCTGGCCGATGCCGGCGCGCACGACGCCGTGCCGCGCGC